TGTTGTCACAAGGAATGACCTAAGTGAGATTGATTGTTTGAAGAAGAATCTCCAACAAAGAATTTGAAATTAAGGATCTTGGAGAACTTAGATACTTCTTAGGCATTGAAGTTGCAAGATCAAAACATGGAATTTTTATCTCTCAGAGGAAGTATGTCTTGGATCTTCTTCAAGAAACAGGGAAGCTTGGAACAAAGGCCTTCAATACTCCTATTGATCAGAATCACAGAATTAATGCATCAGAAGGTGAGCCAGTAAAGGACATTGGGAGATATCAGAGACTTGTGGGGCGGTTGCTATACTTGTGTATGACAAGACCGGACATTTCCTATGCAGTAAGTGTGGTAAGGCAATACATGCATGCTCCACAAGTCCAGCATTGGGAGGTTGTTGACAGATGAAGATTGGGCAGGATGCCTTGATGACAGGAGATCTACTTCAGGAGTATGCACCCTTGTTGGGGGTAACCTTGTCTCTTGGAAGAGTAAGAAACAGACAGTGGTGGTAATCTGGATCCATTCCCTATTGGGAGAAATTGGTATACAGGCAGAAGAACTTATGATGTTGTACTGTGATAATCAGGCAGCAATTAACATTGCCCATAACCCAGTTCAGCATGACCGGACTAAGCACATTGAAGTGGATAGACATTTCACCAGAGAGAGGGTGACTTCTGGGGAAGTTTGTCTCCCATACATTGCTTCTGATCTGCAACTTGCTGATGTTCTTACAAAAGGTGTTGCAAGGAACAAGCTGGAGCATGATCTACGCAAGTTGGGAATGTGTGACATTTACTCCCAACTTGAGGGGGAGTGTTGAGTTGGGCCGATTTCTTGTTATTGGGCCCAATTGTTTTTGTTCTTATTTTAAGTTGTTAGGCTTTAGGCCCATTAGCTTATATTTTTTAAGTTGTGATTGTTCAGCTACTTTAGTAGCCGCCCTACTAAGGGCATTCTTGTAATCTTTCATTCTTTTAAGTTAATTATAAAATATAATGAGGGGTTGGCGGCCATAACCAATTCAATTCTGGTTAACATCCCACTCTTCCTTTCCTCTCTTTTCTTCTCTACTGTTGAAACTCTTCATCTTCTTTTTCTTTCTCTTCACAAGGAAATCATCCTGATTTACAACAGTGATTTTTCTACTACGACTATGCCATAAGTAGGCATGACTCTCACTAGACGAACTCAAAGACTCTATAGCCACAAGACCATCTTTATTCTCCAATGCGTAGAGGCCATCTACCACCCTTCCTCTACCAATTATCCTCCTCAAGGTCAAATCCTGAAACACACAAGAAGGAAAGAAGGTTAGTGAACAATTCAAAGAGTGAATGATACTACTAATGGAAAGTAAATTAATAGGCAATTTTGGAACATGCAACACATAAGAGAGGGTAAGACCAAGGGGAAGGGAGATGGTTCTTTGACCAGCTATGATGGAGAATGACACATCAGCCAGCCTCACCTTATCTCTCCCAGAGAGGAGGTTATATGCCTAAAATAACCTCCAACTTACCAGTCATGTGATTTGAAGCTCTAGAGTCAATTATCCAGGGAGAATCAGATGTATGAGATGACACATGGAATGTAGTGGCAGAGTTACTTGATGTAGATGCAAAGGAGGTAGAAGGAGTAGGGCCAGAATCCATCTGGCAAAGTGTCCTACCATATAACTCCAGATGGTCACGAAAAGAATTGATGATCTCTTCCTTAGGACCGAAACCAAAGTGACGCTCTTGAGGTACCATGGGACTAGTCTCTTGAGATGCCACATTTGTTGAGTTATACTATTTCTGATTATGTTGAGCTGGCTTCTTACTATCAGATGCTGATTTCTTACTTAATTCCTGAGCCCACTTAGGCTTCCCATGGAGATCCCAACATGTGTCTCCAGTGTGCCTAGACTTCTGACAGTGAGTGCATCAAAGTTTGTCTTTGTCATCTACCCTCTTTTGTAAATCACCCTTCTTAAAAGAGCCCCCGCCATTTGCACTTGTACTCCCCTGTACTGCCAATGCAACTGGCTCCCCCTCTACACAATTCATCACACTTCTTCTAATCTCTTCAGACTAAACTAAGGCATAAACCTCCTGGACTGAAGGTAAGTCTTTACTGCCCAAGATTTGTACTCAAATAGACTCATACATTTGGTTCATCCCCAAAAGAAAAGCAAATACTCGTTGTTGGGAGACAAGTGACTTGTAGGCCTTTGCGTCTTCATCACATTTCCAATCCACACTTTGATAATGATCCAGTTCCTTCCAAATTGATGTCAAGTCTGATTAATACATTGAGAAACTTCTCTCCCTCTGCTTGCAAGTAGAGGATTCAGCTTGCAATTGGTATATCTTTGCATAATGCCTCTACTCCAAATAGGTAGATTTTGCTTTCTCCCATTTTTCACAAGTTGTTTCATCCCACATAAATGTCTTCCTTACTTGTGGCAATATGGAAACTAAGAGCCATGACATCATCATACTATTCTCTTGGTTCCACCTGTCATGTTCAGCACCTTTAGTCTTTGGTTCCTTCACTTTACCATTAACATACTCTTATCTTCCCCCTAGTAGTATTATAGAGTTTAGTTCCCCTGGACCATTCAAGGTAATTTAGTCCATCAAAGGAAATTACAGCCATGGGGAAACTCATATCCAGCCCCCACTCATTCCGTTTTGACCTCCAGGAATCCCAAAAGTTGCAGAATTCTCAGAAGACATGTTTAGTTCACTATTCGGCCTCAACACACACCCTAAGACCCCTCCTGATACCAAAAAGCAGTCCTAGAAACACACCAGAGATACAGCCCACATGCACACACTGCAATCTGGACACAGTCTGAATACAGACCAGCTTTAATTCTCCAAAAAGGATTTTTTTTATGTTGATTTCAGTGCTGTACAGCCTTAACAGTTACAATCCACCAAACTTTCATATCATCTAAACACACCAACTACCAGGAGGGGTCATTAAACAGTGCCGTCACACCAAAAAGGTTAAAAAATAGGTCATCCATGATCTACAGGTGTTCCATTTTCAGGTACAGGATCACACGATCCATAGAAAAGAGGTTAGAACCTCACAACTTCTCTGATAGCACTCAGCAGTCTTGATTCATTGTTTTTTTTTTCCTTGGTACACAACCAAGAGAAAAGGAGAAGAATTAAATTTTGTATCAGTCGTAGGTTGCCTTTTCTTACTCCAGTCTGGAGAAGACAGCAAGATGGAGAAGAAAAGACTTGTTCGGTCTGCTCTCACACCCAGTAGAACCGCTCTGATACCATAGTAGCAGAGAAAGAATAAAAGAAATAGGAAGAAGAGGAGAGAGAGAGAAGAGAGATGGGAGAAGAGAAGAGAGTTTTTGGAGAGACTATCAGTTCTGGCAGCGCCAGAATATTTTATTATATATAGGGCGTCACTTAAAAGAAGGGAAAAAGACTCTTATGCCCCTATGGTACTTACAGTACATAAACAAGATAAAACCGAACTATTTTAACATAGTAAACAGAAAATAAACTAAACAGAATAACAAACTAAACTATTCCAACAATTCTATTCTAGGTAACCCTTCTCCCATGTGACTCCTATGATTTGAACCTGGGGTTGGGGGGTAGGCTCTGATACCAAATGTTACATATCCAACTAATATGGCACAAACCCTGGAACTAACGGGACATTTCAAGCCAATCTGTAAACCTTTAGGATAGTAACAATTAAAGAACATAGAAGAGTTTGACAAAGGGAAGAAAGAGGTCAACATAAAGTAATGATGTTCGGTTTCCTTTCATATTGTCCAAATTCTGTCATGTTTAGTTCTGTTACCTGCTGTACTCTTTCAAATAAGCTAGTAATTTGATCAAGAGACCTTTTAACTTGGTGATCAAAATACCTAAATCTTTCTAAGGAATGTCAAGGAATTAGACTGACACCCTTGAGGCCTTGATGGTAGTACAGCAGGTAACAGAACTAAACATGACAAAATTTGGACAATAGGAAAGGAAACCGAACATCATTACTTTATGTTTACCTCTTTCTTCCCATTGTCAAACTCTTCTATGTTCTTTAATTGTTACTGTTCTTTAATTATGCATAAGTTGCTCACTTATGCATCATCTTTTTTAAACTATTTATTTAGATGTTTCTCTGAGTCCTTGCCATACATCTATTATGACCTATTTACCTATAGTGCTTTCCCTAAAAATTATTACTTTTATTTTAGATAAGCATTTTTATAGCAACACTAGCTTGAAATTTTAACTTTAAGGATGGATAATTGAGGTTTACAGTTTACTATTTCTTATTTTCTATATCTCTTGTCAATTACCTTTGCAAATTTACTTAAAAGTAAATTGACATCATTTTTTTTTATCAGTGAAGTAAATTGGCATCATGTATTCTCCTGTTTTGCCTGTGAAATAAATTTTGTACTCAAAGTGGTTTTAATTTTTTATCAACGTTTGTTATAATGTTAACCCTACATGAATTAAATGGTACGCATTATACTTCTACAATTGTGTCTATAGCTGATCCAAACTTGCAGGTGTGGCAAGAATTCTGGATCACAGGAGATTGTGATGGACGAGGTATCCCTGTATCAAACCCAAATGGTCCACTGGACCATGACCTTTTCATGTTATGTTCCAGGGACACCATCAAGCTCCTGAGGAATCATCCCAGTCTTGCTCTTTGGGTTGGTGGGAATGAACAAACTCCCCCAGATGATATTAACACAGCATTGAAAAATGACCTGAAGCTTCATCCATATTTTCAAAGCTTAAGTGAAACAAGAAATGCCTTAGAAGATTTACCTATGACATCTGAAGATCCTAGTCAATATCTTGATGGTACTCGTATTTACATTCAAGGATCTATGTGGGACGGCTTTGCAGATGGAAAGGGAGATTTCACTGATGGGCCTTATGAAATTCAGAATCCTGAAGATTTCTTCAAGGACAGTTTCTACAATTATGGGTTCAACCCGGAGGTTGGTTCCGTGGGCATGCCCGTTGCAGCTACCATAAGAGCAACAATGCCTCCAGAAGGGTGGCAAATTCCATTGCTGAAAAAGCTATCTAATGGTTATACAGAAGAAATCTCAAACCCTATATGGGAATATCATAAATATATTCCCTATTCAAAGCCATCACTGGTTCATGATCAGATTGAATTGTATGGCTCCCCAAAGGATCTTGATGATTTCTGTGAAAAGGTAACAAAGAAAAGAATATTATCTCTACGTGCAGATTACACATTTGCCTCCTGTTTCCAGTTCTTATTGACTTGCATAATTATGATCAGGCACAACTTGTTAACTACATCCAATATAGAGCTTTACTGGAGGGCTGGACTTCTCGTATGTGGACCAAATACACAGGTGTTCTAATTTGGAAAACTCAGAATCCTTGGACAGGTCTGCGAGGTCAATTTTATGATCATCTCCATGACCAAACAGCAGGTTTCTATGGCTGTCGGTGTGCTGCAGAACCGATTCATGTCCAGCTCAATCTAGCAACATATTTTATAGAGGTAACTTGTATGTGGCTGCTATTTTAATAAAGTAACAGGCTCAAAACCCTTGTTAGGTTTGAAGAGTGTTAATTGTAGTTTCTTCCTTAAGCAGGTTGTGAACACCACCTCGGATGAATTATCCGATGTAGCAGTAGAAGCTTCAGTGTGGGATCTAGAAGGAACATGTCCATACTACAAGGTTACTGAGAAACTTTCAGTTCCGCCTAAGAGAACTTTACCCATAATTGAGATGAAGTATCCAAAATCCAAAAATCCTAAGCCAGTCTATTTTCTTCTTCTCAAGCTATTTAACGCATCAGACTATGGCATTCTTTCTAGGAACTTTTATTGGTTGCATCTGCCTGGTGGAGACTATAAATTGTTGGAGCCATATAGGAAAAAGAAAATACCCCTCAAGATAACATCAAAAGTCCTCATCAAGGGGTCTACTTACGAGATTCAAATGAACGTGGAGAACACGTCTAAGAAGCCAACCAACAAAAGTCTAATATACAAGAGTAATGTGGCAGATGAACAAATTGGTAATGATTATGAAATGCATATGATGGAACCATTACAAGGATGGTCAGAGGAGAGACGTGAAGTTGGATTTTTGCAGAGGATCTATAGACATTTCTCAAGGGCAGATGATGGTTTGAGAGTTGTGGAAATGAATGGGAATGACTCGGGTGTTGCTTTCTTCCTCCATTTCTCTGTCCATGCTGCACGGAAGGAAGGAAAAGAAGGGGAAGACACGAGAATTCTCCCAGTCCATTATTCTGATAACTATTTCTCATTGGTGCCAGGTGAGACTATGCCCATCACTATTTCTTTCGAGGTACCACCAGGGGTGACTCCCCGTGTCACCCTTCGAGGCTGGAATTACCATAATGAGCACTCTGTCTGTTGATTCCTTTTGGGTCATGGCCAATTGCAGTTGCAAATTTCACTAGAAAGATATCGTTTTCTTTACAAGCTAGACTATTGCTTGGGATGGTTCAAATGTTACTAGTCAGAAGAAAATTCTTCTCCTGGAGACTTCTTTTTTGTTTTAAGGATGCCATTCTGTAATGAACAATCATTAACTATTGGGAAATAAAGATATTGCTGTCAATTTGTGAGAACCTTACTTTCTCTGTATTATTTTCTGTTAATTAATAAAGATAATGGTCTGTTCATCTATGATGCGACTTTCCCTTTTCTTCTCTGTTTTTCATATTTTTTTGAGAACCCCTGCCAATTTTTTTTATCCCCGTGACCAGAGGTGAGCTACTAACGTTCAATCATCACTCCCCTACGATTACGAATGCATCTAAAATATTTTGAGTATCAAGCAACGTAAGACATTGCATATTGCATAATCGTCTTTAGTTTTAAATTTGGGTAAATTACAAGGACCCCCTTGTACTATGGGCTTAGTGATAAAGACCTTCCTATACTTTAATTTGCAATAAAGACCCCCATGAACTTTAGCCATTAGACAAAGACCCTCTCTATTAACGTTCCATCAGTTAACTTCGAAAAAGATTCTGAATCATGTATAAAATATTTTAAATGTTCGAATTACCCTAATCTAATTTATCTTTTTCTTTAATTTTTAATTTATCAAATCATCTTACTTTTATTTACACTTTGTACTATTCTTACTTGAATGTTTGCCCCGAAACCAAAGTGACGACGATGGTTTACAACGCAACATTTTGCCCCAGTTGCCATTAAACCCATTGAAATGGTAATAACCGATTGCATAGTTTTGGGCTCACAGAACAAACATCATCGTGTAAGCCTTATCCTAACTCAAAGGAATCGGCTACATCAATTTTGTGTCAAAATCCTAGGTTTGGGATACAGGACCATTAACCTGTCTAAGGCTTACAAATTAAAAAAAAAAAAAAAAGAGATGAGGACAAAAAATAGTTCCCCAATAGAGGTCTAATAGGCTAAAACTTGAAGTAACGAATTGGGTGTTGGGACTTGGAAGCACTCTCCGGTCTCCACCAGATTGAAAAAATATTCTGTATATGCAATACTACACGAATCAAATGATATATAGATCATGGCTTCAAAAATCCGAATTTCTGGATTATCAAGAAAGTACTTCTTGAATTCTGAACAAGTTGAATGGGTAAGAAAAATAACATAAATCAAAACCGATTAGCAACACGCCCAAAATCTTTTGAACTTCTTTCATTTCAACATTTGGGTATTGGAGTTAATCTAATATATAATATATCAAGATGATCTCAAGACAACCCATCTTCTTGAGATGGGTGCCACCATCTTCTTGAGACAACCCATCTTCTTGAGATGGGTGCCACCATCTTCTTGAGACAACCCATCTTTTAGACCGGTGGTGCAACAAGGACATGACCTGCAACTTTCTTGGATTTGATTGGACAGATGCCACCATTGTTGGGTCTGACGGTCTGTTTGTACATACTGAACGTTCAAAAGGTGTCACTAGGCCTTGCTGGAGGGGTTGAAGCTGAAGCACTGTGTCTCAGTCTAAAAGTCTTGTCGCCACAAGCGTCTGGAAAACTGAAAGCCAGATGATGAGAACGGTAGCAATTTTGAGGAGAACTTCTACGAAAACCCATATGCAAGGTTCAAAGTATCGATGCAGTTACCGGCGTATTGACCAGTATTGGCGTTTTTTTTATTTTTTTCAAATCTAGTTCAAAGGGGTCAGTTTAAGGCCCGATTACCCTTTGAACCATGGCCTGATCCGAAGCACCCCCCCTAAAACACTCCGTGTAGAGACATATCGAAAAGGCCACGATACAATACATATCGACCGATACAGGCTGATACATAACAATATTTTGAACCTTGGCCAAATGTTTTCTGAACAAATAAGCCATGTCTTCTGTTGTTTGTAATGTGGTAATTTGGATAAAAGAATGGGGTTCAATGTCTGGAATGATAAAACAACAGTTATATATATATACATATGTGCGTAGAGATTTTACAACGGCAAAAAAAATAAAGTAGAGAAAATTTAGTGGGGGTATTTTAGAATTTTAACATCTTCCATCATCACACTTAACAGTCAAGGGGATATTTGTCGCACTGTAAAAGTTCAGGGGGGTCTTTCTTGCAAATTAAAATATAAGGGGGTCTTTGTCACTGAACCCATAATACAAGGGGTCCTAGGTGGGTAAATAACTTTGCCACTTTGAGGAAAAGTTATCAACACTTGAAAGGGAGAAAAATACCTCTTATAATAATGGATTTTTATGGATAAAATGATTCTTGCATTATTTACATGAAAAATAAAAAAACATGAATACATACACTTACCCGAATAAATCTTTTCTCAGAAACAATTACCTGGATAAATGCATTTACCTGGATAAATAACTTACTGAAATGTTAACGGGGCCTAAATGTTTTATCATGGAAAAATGGACTGAAATGCTGGTACGTTTTGGGGGAAAAAAAAAGGATTCGTAATACCGGAAGGAAAACCCACTGGTTACCACTTTTATAATATCGGTTGATTGGTCACAAATTTTTCCGGTATCATATCCTTTTGGCATCGTAGACGAACCCAATAAAATTACATTCAAACGGTCATCAGCTTAAGCCTTAGGGTATTTAAACATTTTCATCACTACAATCATCGTTGTTAAATTTGGAGAACGGTCCGAGTGAACATGGGAGTGGCTGGCAGGCACTCCCCTAAGAAAAATTGAAATTCAAAATAACCTTGGGCCACTTTAATGCGTGGACAAGACGAGAAAACAAACGACTTCGAAAGTAGTGTAGTTGAAGGAAATTGAATGGAAATTAGAGTGCCTTTCAGCACAAGTGCACAACTTAGAGTCCGTTTGGTTCACAGTCGAAATCAGAATTGTAATGGTCCATTCCCATAGTCTGTTTGGAATTGAGATGAACAGGAATAAGATTTCATTCCCAAGGGAATGGGAATTCCATCAGGAATGGGAATAGGATTCCGATTCCACCCAACCAAACAGTTGGAATCGAAATAACCCATTCCAATTCCAATTCCAGACCCCTATTCCCACTATTCCCACGAACCAAACAGGGCCTTAATGTAATTCAATAAACTGATTACTACTTGTGCAAGAGCCATTGTCCCACCTCTAACAGACTCCTTTGGTGTGTAACAGTTAAAGCCAGTGCAATCAATAATAATGCTTCATCTCTACATACACATTCTCATACGTAACTTTGTGAAAAAGAAAACCTATCTATTGTCATTGATTCTGAAGGTGTATAATCTTAATTTAATAAAACAATGGATGCTTATCTTACACTAATTATCATGTATTTTAAGTATAATTGTCTGTTCTAGAAAAGCTCCATTAATTGCTGGACCACATCTGCATTACAAAGAATAGACAAGTTAAAAATGATTGAACAGGCAACCTCTGAAAATTTTCTTAACAAAAATATCACTGGATGTATAGAAAGGTGAAAATATAAAGAACATTCCAGATGCAAATAGAATTTCAAGAGGACGAGAAATTATTTTTGCCATGTTGACAAAAATTTTCAATGAAGTTGTACTGTTCTCCTATAATGTCAATACCCTGTGGCTTCCAATAACCAATTTCTTAACTTTTTACTTGATTGATAACTACCCAAACAGGGATTTCCAAATAAGCAGCGAATAGGGCTCTTTATGGAGCCAATATTGAGGAGAAGATGATTCTTAACCGGAGATCAATTTGAGAAACTCATCATGGAAGGTCTGTCCAATTTTCATTTTATTTTTTTAATAAGCAAATGGGCTACACAATGGGGGTAGCCTTCCCCCAAACCCATAAAAGTCATACCCCCCCCCCACCACCACCAAAAAAAAAACCCTGGAGAAGGCAAAGATTTGATCTGGTCTTTGCTAAAACAAGCTGGAGTCTACAGCAAGTTAGTTGGCACCTTTGAAGAGCCAAAGCAATTCGGTAGACTTACAAATGTGGTGAAGCCCCTACATAGGGTAGAGAGGGAAGTTGGCAGGATAGCCTACAATGAGGTGTAGGGCACATGGCTCTGGTACTTTTTTTTTTTTGGATCAGCAAAAGGATTCCACTTATAAATTAAAAAGCATAATACAAACTGTTGGAAAATTCCAACACCCTCAGTCACATGGGTTCACAACTTTGCTCAGAACAAGTTCTTCTCGTTTGCAGTTGACAGACCTATCTCGTTTGCAGTTCTTCTCACATGGCTCTTGTACGTTATTCATACATTTAAGCTATCTAATAAAAATCCTGATTGTTACTGATCAAAGAAAGAACATATATAGACACACTCCAATACCCCAGTAAACCCATATAGTATGGTCCGTGATCATTCCAGAGAAATCTCAGACCATACAAAAATGGTAGTTAATGTAAGTAAAAGCAAGACAAAAGGTGTCGGAATATAAAAATGGTAGTTAATGCAAGTAAAAGCAAGACAAAGGGTGTCGGAATATAAACAAAAAAAATACCTTGAAGAATAGAGGGAGTAGTTTGGAACTCCTGCCACATATTTCGTTGAGAAGAAAGATCAAAATTGAGGAATTTAGCAGCAAGATATGCAGCTCCAGCTGCAATATGATGTGGCTTAAATTGAAGCCAGAGTGAACTTCTAAGCCTGCCAAAAAATACATTTCCATTGGACTCCATACATTCAATTGCATTAGAAGATCACACAGATGGAAATAAAAAGTAAAATCAATAGCCAAACCAACAGTCTGCAGCAACACTAGAAACGAACAAGCAATATCTTGTACAAGGTATTTCCACATGAACACAATCAGTATCAGTTTCAGAAAAATAAATAAATCTAAATAATGAAATACAGATTTCTTGTAAGCAAAGCAAAAACTTCTCAAGCAATCTTTTCCTTACCAACTAAAATTGCAGCAACCAGGTTGAACAATTTCCAAAGAAACCTTCTGCAGAAACGCTGGCAAAGTGCCAAAACTACAGCAAATATGTGTACCATTTGGAATAATGCATCAGCTCCAGGTGTATTCCCTCTCCAGCAAGCCGCACACAATTCATTGGGAAAGGTAACAGGATATTGCGATTCATAACAAGTACACAAACTTCATGAAATGGATGCTGGGAATCTTCTGCCCAACGATATGATATAAAGAGGCATGCCAACATGCATGCTTTCAAGCTCATTGCAATCATTATGCAGGTTACTTTTGGGGATAAATTCATATATTAAAATCTGCATTGCCATATACTGGGGAAAACCCTAAAATGCAAGTGAGTTTCACATGTTCATATATTCCAGAAAGACAAGAGCCAAAAGCAAAAACTGACTGGAACTAAAAACTGACTCATCCCAGTCACACTACGCGAATGCGATATCTCACAAGTCAGGCAAACATGAAAACCAAAACTGCAGTAATGCCCATACTTCTATTGTCCTCCTTAAAATGTAAGAGCCTTCAAAAAAATGTGCGCAATCATTTCCTTGCTTGTAGAACAACAACTAATATGTGGCAAATGGAAGGAATCCATTAATTATCCTACACCTTGGTCTCGAATCTATCCAAGGTCAAATTCCAACAACCTCACTAACTTTCAGAAACACCATATCAAAACCCAAATGAAACCAATGAAGTGGTTTCATGCACCCAAAGAGGCAATGAATGAGAAGATGGTTTACTGGCTCCATGCTTTCCAGCAAAGGAAACACATGCTGGTCATATCTTCTTTCTGGAAGAAAGTGGCTGACCATCAGGATCAAATATGCTGTACAAAAAGCAAAAAACATAAAGCTATCTTTGTGGGAACAAGGGTATGCCATACAAGGAAGCTGAGGAAACTGACCATACATGAGAGGGGTTGAATACACATGTATGACAGTGAACACATGGGTTTACAAATATAGAACTCCCCCTTAATCCAGAAGTCACTAAAAATACAAACACACATCCCTTTCAACCAGGAAAACATTACCAAAATAAATAACGTTCTGAGAGTTAACACAGCTTTTTTTTTAACAAAGCATCATTCTTAGCTGTTTGTTAGACAAACTGGGTCACTGTGTGTGTGTGTGTTTATGTGTGTGCATATTTTAGTTGGAGTAAGCACCACCTTGAAATAAATGATTAACAAAAAAACTTTGCCTTTGAAAAGACTTGCATGATGTGGTGATACCCTCAAGATAAAAGCATCTTTATTAATTGTGACGTGTAAATAATGGCCAAAGATTTTACTAAAATGAAATATAAGTAAAATAATATTATTATTTAATATATTCCAATAGTAAAGAAACCTTTTCTTTTCAAGCTTTTTAATATTTTAAATAATGTCCAAGGCTTGCAGAAGCAAATTTTATGGCCAAATGACTGAATTTCCCAAACAAGCATTTTTTATGGACCTGTATGCATAGTAATTGGCTGTCAAAACTTGTCATACTTGTACAATTAGAAGATATAAATGGTCTGTAAAAATGCACCAGTTCATTCAAGTACATCTTCAACATAACATGTCACATCAAGTGTCGGAATCAGCATGCCTATGAATTATGGGACTCAGTGAGGCTCAAAAAATGAGGTTCTTGATCTTAGAGAATATATTTTATTTTCTTGATAAACATAATTCAAATTAAGGATATCATGGGAATTATATGGCGAGAACTCAATTTATATGTCAAGGCCATACTCTAAAAGTAATACACCAACCATGGGGCTGCTTGATGTTAGAATTTAGCCTTTTAGGACAATCCCTGTGACACATTTCGAAGTTCTTCTGGTGATTACCCAGAAAAAGTACCCATGCTTCTATCTAAACATATAATGTACCTATGTACCTTCCATACGAGAGAGACAAAGGGAAAGGATATCCTTGGCTTCAAGGCATCTCTGTTCTTGATAATAAACTTTGACATTACCAGCATCATTCAAAAACACCAGCATATCCATATTGTCATAACATGGATGAGATACAGAATTAGTGTTCAATGCAAAAGCTAAAATATAAACAGAAAGAAGGCACACAATTCTAGTGTGAGAAAGCTATTATAATATTATCTATATATTTATCAAAAAAAAATAATGTTATCTATATAGCTATTCCCTATTGCCCTAAACTATTATAATATTAACCATATAGTTGTGTCCTGGCACCCTAATCTATGAGATTTAAAAGTCTGAATCTTAAACAAATAAACCACATCCATGTGCACACTTGGGTGCAATGTAGACCTAGATTAAGGAAACATAAAAGGGCAAATTGAAGAGTTCATGGAACTCTTGTAAGCAATTGACCATGTTCCATAAACATGGACATTGTACATCCATGTTAGACTAAAAAGGAAGAAAAAGACTTCATAAATGTGAACTTCCAGAAAGTCAATATGCTAACAGGTCTAAAAAAATTAATTTGAAAAAGTTGGGAAAAAAACAGCTACAGAAATAAACCTTTTTGTTGTTCTGCTTCTTAATTAAGTTATTAAAAGTGTTTTTTATGGGTTCTCAACTTCTTTTTCTTCTACTTGTAAAAAGTAGGACAACCGAAAACAACAGTGGATATTAACTAGGAATAAGATCTCCACATATACGGTCTAGTGCAGCCAACTCCATATAAGAAATGGAAATGTGATTCACATTTCCAGTTCAAGGAAAATGGGTCAGCAAAATGTCCAGTTGCATGCTTGAGATAAATCTGCAAGGCTCCAAGTGCCTGGTTGCCTTCTTGGACACCAAAATATCAAATTGAAAGAGTTGCATTCTTCCAATAAGAACTGAGTAGAATGGTGAATATTAAAACCTTCCAGTAATTCCTTCATTCCTCTAGAACTTCTTGATCCTCCCCCATACATATAAAGCTGAAAACAAGAAGAAAATAGATATATTAAAAATTTCCAACCAATAGTGTTAACCTTTGCCTGCCATGTCAATTTTCAGAAGAAAGTGAAAAACTAAAAAGAAGTCTCCTCCCCTAGTTTCAACTCTTTTTTTTCTTGTGCTTTTAAGAAAGTAGGAAAAGGATCTCAGTTATATGGTCCGGTAATATCCATGCCCTCTACATATCCTATAACCTTCTTAAACACACAAAAATTGCAGTATGCTCTTCTGCCAAGTGCCAATTTAAAGCCAAGCAGAAATGCAGAATAGCCAACAAAGTTTCAAAAACCCTTTGCAATCACTTTCTAAAATCATTCTTAAAAGAACCTGTGTCACTGGGTGGAGCTTCCACCAAAGTTCTCTTGCCCAGGTTCAAATTTCATAAAAAAAAAAAAAGCTGTAGACAGAACTTTACCATGACTTCAATATTAAGGTATAAAATTTTGAGTCAAGTTGACCTTTCCTGAAACTATTGAAAAAGGCCGCAGTACAGAGGAAACAAAAATTAAATATTTTTCAGAAAGCACTTTAAAGAATAAAGATGGAAGCTTGGAAAAGGAGAAGAGATAAGAACCTGCATAATATTACACTTATGTAAAATGCACAAACCATGGGAAAGGGACTATGTAAAACATTAAAGGAAAGTCTGTCTGTATGTAAAAATAACTTTTGAAACTAAAAATAGGCCTTATCCAGAACTAATAATGATGCATAACTGCCACTGATCTGGAGCCTCTAATTATGGGTCACTTCTTGAATGGGTTAGACCGGGTATGTTTATCTATAAAAATAATTCTATCCACCCAATCATCTCGCTGTTTCCACAAAAATAATAATAATAATAATAGTAATAGTAATAGTAATAGTAATAGTAATAGTAATAGTAATAACAACAACCAAATGGTTAGGATTGGTTAGGGCATCTTAACAATTACTTTTATTATGGACAATCCTGGGGATAACTTGTCTGGTTGAGATCACCAGACTGGTGCACTTGCTGACAGGTTACAAATTTTATACACAGCAATTTTCAAGGATTTCAGAGGACCAATCCAAAAAATAAATAAATAATGGTAATACTGATGATGCTGATGACAATAGTAGTGGTGGTGGTGGAAGTAGTAGTAGTAGTAGTAGTAGTAGCAGTAGTAGTAATTATAATTATAAAAAAAAAGTAGCAATAATATAGAAGTACGTAAATAAGAAAACCGGTCCTTAGGGTTCTGAGGTTATCACCAATAACCAGTGACCAAGTTGGTAAAAGATTTTCAAGGTAAAAGACATCCACAACATATCAGCAGTTCAACTTCAGATGTAAAACAAAACTTTCCATGGACAGCATATCAATCCGCCAGCTAAGAATATCATATAGGTGAGCACGCTATTGTTGTGAAGACCCTGCAATTAATATGCCATGCCAAAAAATCAATATGCGACACCAGAAAAACTAGGTAAACTAGTTACTTTCAGGGGAAATTAGTACTAAGCCAATAGCTCAAAAAAAGTAAGTTTGAAGATGCAAAAGGAAGAGGAAAAAAGGCACTTGCCACTGCGTACAAGTAATTGCCGTTAAAACCTCAATTTATCTGTATTTCATAATTAAAATTTGAACAAGTTGCCAAAGTTATTTTTATTATTATTATTATTATTTTTTTTTTTTTTTGAGAGTGGATTGATCACCAATGCATAATCACCCCAGCAATGATAATCCCTAATCAACATTTTGTAATAGGGTATTCATATGGCATAGAAACCATACTCTAATAAATCCCTTTCAAAATTTTAAAATTTTAACTGAAGAACCAACAGGGACACAAGCATTAGAAAAATCATTGAACCCAGATTTACGTCGCACTGAAGAGTCTTTGAGAATCAGGTGAAGTACGGCAACACTTGGAGACACAATCAGGTCAAGGTAGCGTGTGTACTTAATTCCATATTTTGGCAAAATCCCCCAAACTGAAACGTTCTCCCGTTGAACAGCTTTTTTAGTTGTTATACACTGATTTAGATTGTCCATCTACCACACAATTGATTGCTTTTAGCATAGCTAAAGTAATTGAAGAATTTTCTTCGTTTCTCTTAGAGATAAAATAACAGTGGACTTCCATTTTAAAAGCTGAACACTTAAAAGATACTAGGAAACATCATAAGAGTACTCCAAGCAGGAATTAGTAAAGTCCTAACTAAATAAAAGGCCGTTTCAACTAAATATCAATCTCCAAGAAGAAAATGCCCATTTTGGTTCATTAAAGACAAAGAACAAGAAAAGAAAAGAAAACAACTAGAGATCATGAAACCATCATGACTTGCAGAGAAAACAGAAAGTTTTCATATAAAAGAAAAGGACCATGGAAATACTATTCAAACTATCTTCCCCAATGACCAAAACATTGACAAGAAAAATTCATAGATAGCTACAGTAATGTGAAGTCTTTCAGTCTGAACCATAGAGAGGTAAAAAGAGAACCCATTTACTTGCAACACACTTAAGGACCTGAGCCACAAAAAAAAAAAGACAAAAAAAAGGACTTTTCCTCTTTTAATGATTAGACTTGTAACCATAGAAAACCTATGTCTTCTAAAAGAAGACTAAAGTCTTGAAGCTTTACAGATTTACAAGGATATCAAACAAAACAAATATACAGCCTGCCCATAGGGCAATATGCAGCCATAGATTTAAATCAGATCCAAGTAATCTATAATAACGAAAGTGGCAGAGCAATAGCAGAAAGCTTAATGTGGAAGTGGACAGAGAAAATATTATCAGAACAGTTCCAATATTGAAATGCTACATAGTAATATTATAGACTTCCAGACCGATTCAATGCTCACAGTTTCTTCTCCACATCTATGAATGACTGCAAAGCAGGATTAGAACCACATGCAACTGCCATACACATTGTCCAGACTCCAGTTCATAAGCATTCTCATAACCCATGACCTATTTTGCATGAGACTAAGCACAGCATGGAACTATAGCTCAAGAAAAATGCATTAATAGACCAACTTGACAAAATTGCTTAAATGGCCACTATCTTGGTACCCTGAGAATCATTCACCTTGGTTAAGTCAGGAAGACCTAGCCAAGATTTTAAACATTGACATGAATCATGATCAATCATGTTAAGCGAAGACAAGAAAACTTATTAGCATCTAGTGCAAGAAAAAGAGAAAGATAAAACACAAAAAAGATTTTTTGTAACAAACTTACCCTTCGCTCACCAAGTTGAGCGCCAGATTCACCAAAACAGTTTGTGAAAACCCTAATTTGTTAAGCACTGATGTAAGAGGAACATATGGATGCTGCACATCGAGCTCAAAATCTAAAGTTGTCAGTATCATTTGCTCAGCCTCAATCACCCTTTCTCGATACTGCTCAAACCAGCCCTGCTCAATAAGAGATATTAAAAAAGAGTGAGAAATGGCTGGATAGAATTTTCCTTAAGGTTCATGCTGATGAAACTAAATTATTGGAACAAAAGCACTAATGTCTTTATATACTTACAACAGGGAGCAGATAAGAAAAGGATGAAAATTCTTGCTTATAGCCAATTTCACAAGATGCTTTCAGAACATTGTTCAAAGGGCAAGGTGTCTCCTCAGACTTTGCAGCAAGGAATATAGCTGCTGTTGCAATTAACTGCACATGAAATGAGAACCACACTGATTAAAATTTATAAAATAAGCTCTAAGAAATAAAATCAAGTCAAGAACCAAGAACTATAAGAAGAGATGCGGAGAGTAGTGAAATCATCAGAAAATAAGAAAGACAAAAGACATTATTAAAATAACTAACAATTTTTATTAAATGAAGAACTAATCAATGATAAAACCTATAAGTTATAGACCAATTATTATTTATAAAAAATATGTAATGTAGAACATAGATGGAAGGAAAGGAGAAAAAAAAGAACTTTTTGTCTATAAGAAGAGATGGAAGGAAAGGGGAAAAAAGAATTATAAGAAGAGATGCAATGCCAAAAAATGATGTGGAAATATAACTTGCCAAGAAATAAAATCCCTCTTATTCATAAGAAAAAAAAAAGATGCATACATAAGTTTCCTTTTGCTGAAACATAACTTGTGAACCTAAGGAAAGAAAGAAGCATACAAACAAAGAATTTAAGCTATTAAAAAGACTTCCTAAGTTTTGAGATTTGTAGAAACCTCTCTGTAATAGAGAGGTCCAGCTAAGGACATTTTTCTTGCAATATGCAAGTAACCCTAACAAGCTTATAAAAGAGACGTTTCTTCTAGAATGAAACTTAATTAGGAAGAAAAGTCACTAGCATTATGTGTCTTGATGAACATAAAATAATATATGCCCTCAAAACACCCTTTGAGAGAAAGAGAAAAGCATAAGGAACTGGAAGCTCACAAATCTATCATGACAAGCATGAGATCGTCGAACAAAAAAGCGGTGGCAAAGGACCATTGCAGTTCCAATAGTAGTCTGTGGCCTGTAAAATACGAAAAGCAATTATCTATTTGAGTAAACATATCATACAATATTAAGAAACAAAAAGGAAAATTAAGGGGTTTTTGCAAGTATGTATGATTTCATTTTTCAAATAAAAAAGGACTACCACACGCAAAAGCAATATAATTTTGCTGAAGTGGCAGTTATTTATGTTTTTTTTAAAGATGATGATTTCATTAATTCTGAAGAGAAACAAAGGAAAGGTTCCCAATACAACCACAATGGCTGAAACAAAACAAAAAAATGAGCAACACATTAAATATTACAGAGCAAAGTTTTCATCCCAAATGATTCCTATCCCAATTACTATGGAAATGACTGAACTTAAAGCCCCAGAATAGCTGTGAATGGAGGTCTAATTCATCAGAATTATCTCAACTTTGCCGCATATTTTCTAAACTGGCATAGCCTGATTCTGAAAGGTTCTATCATTCCTCTCTTTCCAAACTGACCAGCATATTGCTCTTTGTCCATTCTCCAAATCACCTTTCCCGGAGAACTTTTGGTTAGGAAAAACAAAAGCATACATGTTGGTGAACACCCCCTCTAAAGAACTTTTGGTTGAACATAAAAGAAATACATAGGATGAAGAAAACAAAAATCAAAGCAAAGAACCTTGACTTAAACCATTCCATAAGAACTTAAGTCATGGAAAGACAAACCAGTGAAGGTTCAAAAAACCTAACCAGAGACTTTTAAGAAAATAGTTGCTTAGTTAATACATATATGCAAGATAGAAAGCTTACAGTTCTAGTCGTGTTCCAAGATTCTGAAGAAATGCACAATATGAGTATCTTAGATGTGTTTCACGTAATGAATCAATACCATCCTTTCTTGATGGGGAACATCTCTCAATCTCATCCCTAGACATAAAGACCACTTCGTTATCCAATTTCAACTGATCATTTTTACAAGCTGTAAATGTACGAGCATGCATATCAGGTAGGGCATGATATGAACTATTGCTGGTTGAAGGGTCATTGCCAATTTTGTTGGGATGCCTATAATGTCTCGTGCTGTCTTCCCAAGTAAGAGTTGAAATTTTTCTCTTCTTCATGTAAGGAGCAACACAGGGTTCATCACTGCTGACCTTATAAATGTGGTCTCTGAATTTCCTTGAGAAGTCACGATGGTTGCTATAACTGTTGTTGTAATCGTTGTTTCTATAAAATGATGATCGATGTTCATTTCGAAAATTGCCTCCTTGGCCCCGATATGTCCGTGAGAAAGACATATTCTGCTAAGCTATAGAGACCACCGTCTGAAATAGAAGCATTAACCAAGAAATTCCTGCGAACATGTTGACAATCAATGTCAATTCGATGTCATATATTTATATTGAAATTAAGAACATAAGGATGAAAATCAATATCCCATATTTCCTTCAAATTATAAAACAGAACATATATAAACAATCCAGACAACCAAAAAACAAATCAAATAAAGAAAATGGTAGGAGAGTGTGAACAGATAATGTCTTCGGAAAAGAGACTAAAAAATCACTGTTCCCGTCGAGGACAACTTACGTGACTTCAGAATAAAGGTGCCAATATTAAAAAAAAAATCATAAATTTGAGAAATTAGTAATCTACTTAATCCAGATGTAAAACGAAAAAAGAAGGGGGAATACTCAAAGCGTTCCTCCGCAGAAGAACAAAATTGACGCTTTAACAAGCAGTTAATCCATGTATCGACGAAAGACCGAGCAAAGAACCCTATACACGATTTATTCGATGATCAATCAACGAATTTTAAACATTTGTTTTGCATCTCTTCAATTGAAGAATTCAGAAAGGCAGATGAATCAGACGAAAATATATGCCTTAACAAAATGATCCACATAATAAAGCAAAAAAAAAAATCGAGAACGAAATACCCTTTTTGGCAAGAGAAGAAGGATCGGAAACTCCCCTCAGTTTCTACCTAATCTGTAAGATCTGATTTGATGAATTGAGATTGAATTTATAAGATTGGAATAGGGAAGGAACTAAGATAGGGTTTGCTCTTCTGTGATCACCTAATCGCCTATGGTAAAGATAAAAAGAGAATGGCGAAACGTTTTCCACAAGGCAACTAACCAACAAAAGAAGTCTCGTCTGAAAGGTGTGTCAACCTAAATAAATATCATCATCATCCATTGCTAATTTCAAGGTTTCTTCTTTCTCTGGTTTCTTTTTAGGTTTGTTCGCGGACCAAAAACGATTTGGGAGCGGTCCACTCACCAAATGAAGCGAACCGGAGGTGGATCGTGGATGCCGCGACAGCTTATATGTTTGACCGTTAATCTTTCACGCGTGTAGAAGTGTACTGTAGAGGGCGTGTTGTGAAATTCGGATTTAAGACCGGATCTGCGCCTCACACGCACATACCATCATGCATTGGAAACATCTTGTACTGTTATTTTTCACGAGAGATGCTCCCAATGCACGGTGGATGTGCATGTGCGGCGCTCAAGTGTGAGGAGCATATCCCGTTCTTTCGGATTTGTTCTGACTTCTGAGGGTAGGTGTTTAAAGTCTCTCAGTTCCCGATCAGAGCACGTGTCAAATTTGTTGGATTTGGTAATAAGAGAAAAGTTTAATTGTGAAAAAAAAAAAAAACTTGGGATAGTAGACCAATCTGCTTCTCACACGCACATCCTACATGCATTGGAAATATCTCCCGTACTTATAAGTTATATTTCACGGGAAATTTTCTCAATGCACAATGGATGTGCATGTGAGGAGACCAGATCTCCTCCTCACACCTGGCGCCTCACACGCACATTTTATCACACATTGAGAACATCTCTCGTACTTATTGGTTATTATTCACGGAAGATGTTCCTAATGCATGGTGGATGTGCCTGTGAGGCGCCCATTTGTGAAGAGCAGATCCCATCACGCATGTGAGGCACCCAAGTGTGAGGAGCAGATCCCGTTTTGTTTTAAAGCTTCTTGTGTATGACATGCTAGCATGTATGCGGGGTGAAAAAGTAAATATATAAATATTTTTAATTAAAAATAGGTCATTTACTAAAACCCTTTTATAGTTTCATAGATTTATGAAAACCTCCCCTATAATTTGCATTTTACTAAAACTAGTGAATGACCTCGTACTAAGTACGAAATTAATATATATATATATGAAAAAATATAAATGATTTTTATTATTGTTTATAAACTACCATTTTTTAAGATACTCATACAGTCTACGGGTCCACATAAATTGACCCTTATATGTCAAATCCATAAAATTATACTGGTCATTAAATTCAACTTGAAACGTTTATTACTTTAATTTAACCATTATTATTATTATTATTATTATTATTATTATTAATTTATTTTAGTATTTAATTTAAAATTTTTGTTATTTAATAATAATATTTACTAAAATTTTAATTATTTAAATATTTACTTAGAATATTTTTTCCAATCGAGTATAATTATTATATAATAGATTTGTTAATTCACATTTTGCATTTAAGAATAAACATTAATGATTTGGCTTAACAATTTTAATGACTATTAATAAATATTGATTCTTATTTAAGGTTTAATTATGGGGGCATGCTTTGAATAAACATTAATGATAACTGATGATTGTTATTTCATTTTTTATTATTTACTTAAATAAGTACTTGATAATTGTTATTATTATTAATTATTTCTATAAATAATTGATTGTTATTATTATTTACTTAATTCAGTAATTTTGAGTAAGTAATTATTTGATTTAATCTGAATTATTTCATTTTTTAATTATTTATAATAGACATTTAGGGTAGGCTCTTTATTTGATTTAAGAGACCTACCATGTTTTTTATCTAGGACCTCATACTAAGGGGCAACTACAATATCATTTAATTTGAAATTTACTATTTAACAATAAAAAATCAATGTCCTATTGAACAACCCGCCCCCAAAACAGTATCAATAACTTTGAAATCATTAATCTATTTATAAAATAGTAAACTTAGATGGGTGTTTATAACAATATCACCAATACTGCTTGATATTTAGAGACATATGAATGGATAAAAAGCGTTTATGACATCCATTCAAAGAGGCAAAGAAGGAAGAAAATCATTCAAAGAGCTGCTAAGAAAAACAATCCATGCCAAACAACATTTGCAGATGCATCAATCCTGTAAAGTAAGAGTTGAAAAATATATGACTACAATCAAATTATCATCATGTATGGCTACAATCAACTGATAATATAATTAGGACTCCGAAACCCATCCAACAGAGGAAACATGAAAGAAAGGAGAATAATGAGACTATCCTAAGTATGGAAGTCACCTCCAAGTTAGGTGGCAATGCTTCTTTTGGTCGGTCATGGTTATGGATTTTAAGTTTAAGCTCTCCACAATGCACGTAGACTGGCTAAAATTTATCTTTAGGAAAAGATAGGGAAACTTGTACATAACCTAATGGTATATTTGGATTATGGGAATTGGGAGATAGAAATAGAAAATGTAGGTTGAAATTATAATTTTGGGCATGTCATGTGACGAATTCAAGTCAATTAGAATACTCATAGATTTTTAGTTCATTCATTTAGTGGTAATTTAAATATTTTTTATTCCATGTCTTTATTGAGTAATATAGATTAATAATTATGAAGTCAATTACTAATAATATATTCTTAATATGTGTGTATTGATTTTGAAATCAGTAATATTAAATTATTATTATTATAAAGTAATTAATTTGTTATAATTACGATTTTTAGTTAATTCCTGAAATAATAATTGCTTTTATAATTCTTTTAGTTGCTCTAAACTCCTACCTAAGCAAGGAAAATCTGATTAAGACGGGAATGGTGCTGGATAATGTATGTGCCCTTTGTCCAATGAAACTTGAGAAGGTGCAAAGCAATTCTTCATCCATTGCAAGATATTAAATACAAATTGCATCTGGGTTGAAAATATCTTTTGCGAAGTAGGTTGTAAGCCTAGAACAATGGAAGAATTTATTAGGAGTTGGAAAGTGCAAATTGCTCTTTTTTAGCTTTTAGGATTATTTGGAGCGGAAAGAATTCAAGGGTTTTGGACAACAAATATGAGACAAAATTTTCTTTGGTGGGTGTGCAGTGCATGGCAGGGTAAATAGGATATCATCATATGATATATAGTTTTGGATAAAAGGAATTATGAATTCATAAGTGTTGTAATGTAAGTGTACATTCCCTTTCCCTTGTACAGTCCCTTTGTTTATATGAAGTGTTTGTATGGTTTTGTTTTGTTTAATGGATAAAATACTTAACCTTCTTCAATACACATACACAAACAGGTGTCAAATGCATATTTTAATATTCAAATCCAAAATAATTGGAATTGATTTGGGTGTCAAATCCACAACTAATCTGATTGTTAAAAAAGATGCATATTTCACTATTCAAATCTAAAATAATTAGATTCATGTTTTGGACTTTTGGAGTCCATTGACAACCCTAAGCAAAACTGATGCATTGTGGTCAAAATAGTCACATATCAATTGATAATAATTAGCCATAGGTCCATGGAGGTTCTGTTTGGAGACCCAAGGAGAATAAATGTCGAAATAACTGCTACAAAGGACTGCTTGTGTACAAGGTATCCTATCAAAATCATGAGCCTTTTGTTTCAATTAACCTCTCATGTTGCAATGAAGCGCTACTTAGAGCAACTTGGATGCCTTCAAAACTGGAGGCACAAAGCTTGGGCATTTTTACAATGGACAAAACTGTAAAAATTCTTCACACCTTAGGATAGCATTATACCTAGGTTGCTTGGAATGTAATAATTTCATATTGGTAGCAGTAGTTCAGACTTTCTGTCAAATAAATCAACTTGAAGACTTTAGCATGATGCCAACTATATGGATCATATCAGCTTGATTACAGTAATTTGGGTTGTGCAGAAACTAATTAAAACCCTTAAAGACTCTGGAACAAATTTCCATGGTTCTCTGCTTAAGCAGCCTATTTGTACCTCTAATTTTATCCATATATTATAATTCAATAACGATTTCTGATTTCTTGAATAATAACTTATCCATTTATCTATTTAGATTTCTACATAATTATTGAGATCATTGGTCAAATTGTTGAGCTTCTTGAAGTCTGGATGAGGACTAGAAAATCCAGATACTCCATGCAATCACTAAAGATTTTCTTGTGACATGCATGGATCAGTTCATCTTTTCTTGCCTTGTTATGTTTCTAGATTGTTTTTTCAATAAAGATTTTTGGTTTGTATCCTATTTTATCTATATGTTATAATTCAATAAAGATTTCTGATATCTTGAATGATAACATATCCATGATTCAAATATCCCATGCATCGCACAGGCCATTCGACTAGTTAAAATAAAAAACAACAAAAAAACCATTGTCCAAGTCAACGGGTCAACAATAACCACCCAGATCAATGAATCACTGACCAAGTCAACGGTTTTTGGCCCATGAATGGTTTTAGGATGAAACGGAACCGATTACTTGACCGGTTCCTAAATCAACCGGTCCAGTCCTGTTTTCAAAACCATGATTTCAAGGTGAGATTAGTGCTAACATCATATTTGCTCTATAACTTGGAAATGATATAGGGAAACTTATGAGTCAGTATTTGGAGATTTATTATATAAGTGGGTGTTTGTTTGGTATAAATTGTTGTGTTGCCGCATAAGGTTTGGATGGTGGCACATCAGTGTCATATTCACATCTAGACCTCAATGATGAAAAAATGTGTTTGGTATGGTGGAAGCTGCACACACAATATCTCGAGTTATGTCAATATGCCTATTTGAGGAAGCTAATTTATTTTAACTTCCTGATAAAACCGTGCATTTGAGAAGTTATGTGAGATGTATCAATCAATTTATATTTTGAAATACCCCCACTTTGATTTCGGGGAAAAAAACAATGAAGAAACAGCCCCATTAGCAATTTTTACAACCAAACAGTACAATAAGTTTATGGTTGCCAACAGAAACACAATGGTGGAGTGCTGTATAGACTTTTCGAGGTTGTATATATTGTATGGTAAAGATGAACAAAATTAATTTAAATAAACCTTTTTTTTTTCATGGGACTACACAAATATGGGGGTAGTGTGTTCCCTACTAGGGGTGATTATTTCAACCCG